ACCCATCTAGCTGGTAGAATGCCACGGGAATCTTTAGCTTTCATAATCTCCCTACCGGTGCTGAGCTTGTTAAACACCAGGTGCACTCTGAGTCCAGGAGGAATGACAGTTTTACTCTCCTTTTCCAGCTGGGGATGAATAGTCTTAGGGGCAGTGTGACCAGTTTGACCGGCTCACTTACCAGTGGGTCATCTTTGGAGTCTCTTTTGAATGGGCTGGGGTCCTCTCCTGGCAGGGCCTGAGTTCTCTTCCACAATTTTGCTAGGAGGTGAAATTCCACAGCCCCTCTGCTTCTCAGGGTGGTATCTTTTCCATGTGGGGTGGCCTTCACTGTTTTTCCACTCAATAGGTGCTCAGGTTTCCAGGCCAGGGTCTTTGAGTGGCACTCATCTTTTCCACGCTTGAAACAGGCAGTTGACCATGGTGGGGGGCAGTCTGCGGTTTGAACAGCTCTCGCTTCCTCTGGGTTGGGGATCTCTTCCAGGTTCTCCCAGATCGGTACTGGTTTCAGGCTAGGTCAATCTCCACCTCTTCTGCCAAGATATACCAATCTTGGAGGTGGTTTGAGGCTCCGCGAGCCAGACCAGCATGGTAGAGGTCATCATTCAGCCCATCTTTAAACCAACTCACCAGGCAATATATTATACACAAACTGCAAAAATAATGATGAATGGTGAGATGACAGGGAAAGTTGATATTAAGAAAGTAACAAGGCAAGGATGCCCCCTATTACCATTATTATTTATTTTGACATAAGAGGTGCTAAATAGAAAAATTAGAGAAGATAACGAAATAAAGGGTATGGAGATTAAAAAAGGAAGAGTACAAATTACAAGCATTTACAGACGATCTGTATTTATATTAGAAGAACCATTAGAAATAGGACCCAAACTGATATAAAAGATAGAAGTGTATGGAGAAGTTGCAGGATTGAAAATAAATAAAAAGAAAACTAAGGTTCTAGTAAAAAATGTTACACAAAAACAAAAAAGAGAACTAATGGATAGGTTAGATATTCAAATTGTAAAGAAAGTGAAATATTCAACTAACAGCAAGATGTGGGACAATTAAAGAGGACAGTTATAAATTGAAACAACAGATTAAAATGGATTTGGAAAAATGGAAAAATTTGCAGTTATCATTAATAGGGAGAATAGCAACAATTGAGATGAATATGCTACCAAGAATATTATATTTGTTTCAAACAATTCCATTAAAATTGGGGAAAAAATAATTTGATGACTTAAATAAAATAATGCTAAAATATATATGGCAAAGGAAGAAAGAATTAAATTAAAATTGTTGCAGGATGCAAGAATTAGAGGAGGGTTTGGATTACCTAATTGGGAATTATACTACCAAGCTGTGATATTGACGTGGATGAAAGAATGGATCGTGTTAAGGAATACAAGGTTATTAACATTGGAGGGACATGACTTGCAATTGGGATAGCATGCTTTTTATGGTATGGGAAAAATAAGATCCGTGGCTACTTTCAAAGATACTATGTAAGAAATGCTTTATTGTTAATATGGGAAAAAATAAGAAAACAACACTATTTGAAGATTCCAGTCTGGCTTTCTACAATGGAAGAGTTTATATATCCAAATGTTCTCAAAAGGGGGGATATTGTTAGATATAAAGATGTTTTAAATGAAAAGGGTGAACTCAATAGTTCTATAGCTCTATAGCTCAACCCACAAAAAACATAACTGTAAAAGATGGACCAGAAATAAAAGCTAAAATAAGCAAAAAATTAGTAAGAGAACACCTGTCTGATCTGGATGAAAACAAATCACTGAGGCCTGATGGATTACATTCCAGAGTTTTAAAGGAGCTGGCAGAGGTCATCTCAGAACCACTGCACCATATCTTTCAAAAATCCTGGAGCACCGGGGAACTACCAGAGGACTCGAAAAGAGCTGATGTGGTTTCCATCTTCAAAAAAGGGAAAAAAACCAGGCCCAGGAAACTATAGACCAATCAGCCTAACATCAATACCCGGGAAGATACTGGAAAAGATAATAAAAAACCAGATCTGCCAACATCTAGAAACAAGTAAAGTAATAACTAGCAGTCAGCTTGGGTTTGTTAAGAACAGATCATGCCAAACCAATCTTATTTCATTCTTCAACACATTGACTAAATTAGTAGACCAGCCAAATACTGTGGACATAATATATTTAGATTTCAGCAAGGCATTCAACAAAGTAAACCACAGCCTACTTCTTAGTAAGCTAGAAAAAAGTGGGATAGATAGCACCACCACGAGATGGACTCGCAACTGGCTGGCAAACTGTACTCAACGAGTAGTCCTTAATGCGTCTAAGTCTACATGGAGGGAAGTAAGTAGTGGGGTGCCACAACGTTCCGTCTTAGGCCCAGTACCCTTCAATATCTTCATTAATGACTTAGGTGAGGGATTAGAAGGGGGAACTTACCAAATTTGCAGATGATACTAAGCTGGCAGGAATAGCTAACACCCAAGAAGATAGGCTCAAGATCCAGATGGATCTTGACAGACTAGAACACTGGGCCGTATCTAACAAAATGAAATTCAACGTAGAGAAAAGTAAAGTCCTACACTTAGGCAAAAAAACCCAAAAGTACACATATAGACTGGGTGAAACCAGGCTCAATAGCAGTAACTGTGAGAGGGATCTTGGAGTCTTAGTGGACAACCAGCTAAATATGAGCCAGCAGTGTGCAGCAGCAGCCAAAAAAGCTAATGCAATCCTAAATTGCATTAACAGAGGGATACAATCAAGATCAAGGGAAGTACCAATACCACTAATGTGGTGAACAAAACTGGATGCAGTACTCTAGGTGTGGTCTTACTAAGGCTTTATAAAGCCTTAGTAAGACCACATCTAGAGTACTGCACCCAGTTTTGTTCCCCACATTATAAAAAAGATATTGAGACTCTAGAAAAAGTACAGAGAAGAGCAACCAGGATGATTAGGGGACAGGAGGCTAAAACTTACAATGAACAGTTGCAGGAACTGGGCTTGGCTACTCTAGTAAAGAGAAGGACCAGGGGAGACATGATAGCGGTCTTCCAATATTTGAGGGGCTCCCACAGGGAGGAAGGGGTCAAGCTATTTTCTAAAGTGCCTGTAGGCCAGACAATGAATAATGGATGGAAACTGAACAAGGAGAGGTTTAACCTGGAAATAAGAAGAAACTTTCTGACAGTGAGAACAATCAACCAATGGAACAGCTTGCCCTCGGAAGTTGTGGGAGCGCCATCACTTGAGACTTTCAAGAATAGATTGGACTGCCATTTGTCAGAAATGGTGTAGGGTCTCCTGCTTGGGTGGGGGGGTTGGACTAGATGACCTACAAGGTCACTTCCAACTCTGATTATCTGTTATTTGTTTATCAAAACAAAACAAGAATTAAATGAAAAGGGATTGATATGAACTGGTATTTATATAGGCAAATACATTCTAGATATGAAAAAATGCAAAAGAGGAGGGATTTTATGATATGTTGACAGAATTGGATAAAATGCTCATAGGAACAGAGGAAAAGATGGTTAAAATTATATTATTATCTATTAGAAGTGAAATTAGAAGAACAAGTAAAGGAGATGATGATAGCCTGGGGGGGGGGGATTTTGGTTATGGGATTGAACTAGATAAATGGCAGAAACTATGGAATAGAAACTATAAATTAATAATGTCAACAGCATACAAAAAGAACCTATATAAGATGTTTTATAGATGGCATCTTGTGCCAGCAAGGTTGGCAAAGATGTTTAAAGATAAATCAGCTAAATGTTGGAAATGCCATCAGACACCAGGATCATATTATCGTATGTGGTGGGCATGTACAGAAGAAAAAAGATACTGGACAAAAATACACTTATGGTTGGAAAAAATGATAAAACAACATATAGACTTAAAACCCGAGATATTTCTATTGGGAATTCTACCTGATAACTGTAGTAAAGAAAAAATGTATTTGATTAGTCATATCTTAACAGCAGCTAGAATTGTATTTGCTCAAAACTGGAAGAATAATAAGACTCCTACAGAAGAAGAGGTGATTATGAAAATATTTGAATGTGCAGAAATGAATAGATTAACATTAGAAATTAAAGAACAAGAAGATGCGGAATATTATATGATATGGGATGTATTTTATAAATGATTGGAAAACAAAGAAATTGAATGAATATATTGATATTCATATAATATAATGAGAATACTATAATGATAAGAGAAAAAAGGATGATTTTTTTAATATGAATGTAACTTTAATGATATATATTATAGCATGAAATGTATATTAAATATGAATATGTGCACAAGATACATGTACCCAGTTAACACACCGTTGAACTGAAAGATGGTCATTTTGTAAAAGAAAATTTTAAAAAATTAAATTTAAAAAAAGACAGCTCACCAGGATGTCTTCAGGCCAGTCTACTCAGCAGGCGAGGTCTCAGAACTCCTCAGTGTAGTCAACCACCAGCTGGCAATTTTGTTTCACAGTTCTGATCCAGTCACAGGCCTTCCAATCTGCTAGTGGGTCTTCAAATTGGTGACGGAGTGCCATCATGAAGTGGTTGAAATTCCACAGCTCTGGGGGGTCAGTACTGTGGAGGGTCACCACCTGGCTGTCACTCCTTCCAGGGCCAGGGTACTGACCCAGGCGCCCTGAGTATGTAAATCCCACCTGTATTCCTGCATGAATATGAGAACATGCGCCAGAAAGAAGGTTATAAACTGAGAAATGCCTCCAGACCCCTTTCCCACCAGTTAGCTTAATTAGCTTCTGAGCCCAGCCAAGACCAGTCAATCACTGTGGGTTTTTTTTTCATTAATGCAAAACAATTTTTCTAATATGGACTTTTTTATTGAGCTAAGTGACTCAAATCTGCCTGAATCTCTTTCTTGTGTTTCTGAATAGATGCAGCAAATGTATCATTATAATCTGACCAGATTTGAAATAAACATCTGGTTTAATATGGAAATTGTTTCTTATGTTCATAGTGGACAGACCTGTCAGAGTCTATGCAGATGGAATATTTGATCTCTTCCATTCTGGTCATGCAAGAGCTCTCATGCAAGCCAAAACTCTGTTTCCTAATAGCTACTTATTAGTAGGAGGTAAGCCTGATACTTGAACAAAGATTATTTTTAGACTTATATTCTCTTTTATATGATTTGCTACGCAACCTCAGATTCCGTGAATTTTCTAATTTTAATTTACTGAAAAGCAAGATTTTAATTTTAACCTTTTCCTAATTAATATTAGGAAAGAACTAAAGTGCTTGCAAATATCACATAAACAGTTTGCTAGTCAATAAGGTAAATTTTATCTGATCCAGAAGATCTTTTTTTCTGTTTGTAAAGCTGACTTGTTACCTAAGACTTGTAGAATCTATGAAATTGAGATAAGAAATTAATATTACATATGATCAAGATCAGTTCTGGATTCTTCTTTCTTAGATATTAAATACAGAAATATGGAATGGAGTCCATTGAATGTCATGTCAAATTTATGCACTGAAATATAATTGCTTTTTCCATTTGTTAAGAGAAGGCAATTGAACAACATATCCCGATGACTGATTCTAATAGTTTCATAAGAAATTGGAACAATAATAATATCCGGAAAAAGAAATGGCGTGAAAAATAAGGAAATGCTGAAATAAAACAATTGCCAGTCTAGCTTCCCTCAATTTCATTGCTATCTCTATGTCTTGAGACAAATCTCAGACTTTCCATCTAGTACTGCAAAGAGAACTGCAAGAAAAGATTCACCATTCCACAATTAAAAAGTTTTGGGATTTGCATCTGAAAGAAACTAAGCTAGCAATTTTTCTGACCAGCAAATCAGAGAAACAGCTATCCAGCATAGGATAGCTTTTAATGTACTGGCCGTCCAATATAAGCAAGTTTTCAATTGAGTAAATGTGATCAAAGATTTGTGACTGAATGTGACTAAAAATTGTTTTCCAATTTTTGATTGCTACTTTTGTGATTTGGTCTGACAACTACTGGCTTAAACTCTGAAAATAGATTTGAATAATTTATAGCCAAAGAGATGCATTGAATTTTACAGGGTTACTCTTTTTGAAATCTTCTTGCATGTATGTCAGTTTGCAGTGATGATCTAACACATAAGTTTAAAGGTTTCACTGTAATGAATGAAGAAGAACGTTATGAGGCCCTCAGACACTGCCGCTATGTAGATGAAGTAATCAGAGATGCTCCATGGACGCTCACAGCAGAGTTTTTGGAAAAACATAAGGTATTTTTCTTCCTTTTTTTAAACCTCTTCCCCTATAAGCCAGTTTCATACTAGCGATGGTGCCAAATACTTCATATTTATCATGTTTATAAAGCATAGTTGGACTCTAACTGAAGTGTCTTTTGTCACCATCCTTAGTATATTATTTGTGTAGTTCAGGTTGTAATTCAAAAGTGGTAATAATTCTTTCCTTTTGCTTTTAGTTGTGATGGTAGCAACACTATGAAAAATCTCCTTCCTTTTCTTGTCTTCTTTTAGATGCTATGCTTCAGAATTTTAGAAAATGTAATTAGGATTTGAGGAAATGAAAAAGAAAAACTTTTTATGCAACTATAATAAAAAGGGGAAATATATTTTCAAACATCAACTCCGTTTCAGTAATAACAATGATAGTGCAACTGTATTAAAATCCTGTATGAAATCTTCTTTCTATCCATTTATCTATTATTTTAATAGGCCTTTGTTATAGCATTCCAAGCCTCCAAATGTCCAAAATAGCATAGCATTTAGGCTTATATACCATCCCATAGAGCTTTACAGTGCTTCTGGATGGTTTACAATGTAAGCATTATTAGCATATTGCCCCCAACAATCTGGGTCCTCATTTACTGACTTCAGAAGGATGGAAAGCTAAATCAACTGCATTTAACCACTAGACAACCAGAGCTCCTAATAACCAAATTAACAATACAGTTGCAGAAAACTGGATTTTCTCCAAAGGGTTTATAATTATAAGCTTATATACAGGTTACTTATATATTTTGAATGAAACTGTTAATAGTTTGCTATGCAAACATATATTCATGAAAAATCATACTGGTTTATTTAATTGTATGATTAGCTACTCTTCACTTCCTACTACAGGTTTATGTCATCCATTTCTCAATAATTTAAAAAAATCAAGTCAATAATTAACTATGTCTAGTCTTCCACTAATTGAAATAACTTTATTAAGTTGTATTATATTAATTAGCGTAACAGTAAAAATGCCATTAAATATTCTGAGATAAGTTTTTTCTTTAGCATGATTTAGCATGGTTCAGCCTAGTGACTACTATTACTGATGTGATATTTAATATAATTGTAAACAGCTTAACTTTAATTGATATCACATATATAACTAAAAGGTTTTGTAGTTTCATGTGCTGCACAGGTAGTCCTCAAGTTATGAATGTAATGGAGCCTGCCCATTCCATTCGTAACCCTAGGATCTGTGGAATGAATCTCATACCTTAAATGAGATCACTCCCTGCTTTTGCCCACACATTCAATATTTGAATGTGCGGCTCATTAAGTGCGGTATCTCAGGGTGAGGAAGATGGGGGGGGGGGGTAGTGTTGGAATAGGCCACCTACTTCAGACCACCCAAGGCCTGAGCCACAGATACCACATTCACCCTCCCCTGGGGTCCCCACAATTGCTTAACCCCCATCCTGACATGCCAGATGACTTACCCTATGAAGATCTGTCTCCTCTCCAGCCTGTTTCTTTACCTGCTTCCTTCTTTCTCATCAGGAAAGGGCTTGACGAGTCCCCTGGCGATGAAAAAGGAGGTCTGGAGGACCACGCGTGGCCTTTTGGGGCTCCTTTTTCATCACCCGAGGCCTCATCAAGCAGATCATTGGTGAGAAAAGAGACCTGGAAGGTTGCACACACCCCACTGGGCCTCCTTTCTTGTCGGCAAAGTGCTTGATGATTGCTCCCCTTTAGGTTTCAGCAGCCCTTTTCAAAAAGCCTTTGTCGGTAGGAACAGAGCTTCGGGGGGAGGTGCCCGCTTCTCCCAAGCTCCGCTGGTGCCAACAAAAGCTTTTTGCAAAGGGCTGCCAAAGCATACAGAAACACAATCTCCCTGTTTGCTTCAGCAAGGAAATGGCAAATGTAGGGAAGGCCTGAAGGACCGAAGCCTTCCTTCCATTTGCAAACATCCTGGCCTCTATTCACAGAGAATAGAGACCTAAAAGTGCTAGATTACATGAGATCAGTAGCACAAGATCTCGCCCTGCTGATCTTGCATGATCTCGCAGTACAGTAGGCCTCTGTTCTTGTGAATAAACCAAAAGCTTGAAGCAATAAAGCAGGCAAAGAAAGCACGATAGAGAGGAGATCTTCACAAGGAAAGTGAGTCTCCATAGTCAAAGTGCCTGTGAAGACCTGGCTGCTGGGGGGCCGGGGAATAGGCGGGGCAAATGTTGAACAGCCTCTGCAGTCATTCGTAAGAACGAACAACTGCTGTGATACTGCAATATTCATAATTTCAAGACTTGTTTGTAAACACTAGGGGGCACTTATCGTGTAACTTCAAACGTTCACTAAGGGAATGCTCATAACCTGGGAATTACCTGTACAGTGATATAAAATCTATTACAATAATTTAAAATATATTTATTTAAAATCTGTTTAGCAAGTAAGGAAGTTAGGTTTCCAAAGTAAGGGATAACTTAATTTCCTTTTATTCTGTATTTTTAGATTGATTTTGTAGCCCATGATGATATTCCATATTCTTCTGCTGGTTCAGACGATGTTTACAAGCATATAAAGGAGGCGGGTAGGTATGCTTTGCTATTTCTTTAAGTAGCTAACATTATAAGTAGCCTCACATAACCATCAGACTGAAAAAAATGTTTACTTCACTGGACTTTTTAAAACCTTAAGTTTTAAGATCACAATAGTTTTTAAAAAGCATCCTTGAAAGGTGGCAAAATAGCCTTCAGTTGAATATTACCACTGAAGAGGAATCCATTACCTCTCTAGGTAATTGTTCCACTGCTGAGCCAATTTTAATGATAGGATATATTTCTAAAATTCAGTTGGAATATGCCTTTCTGTAACTATTATTCTGCACTCTGGAAAAAAACAAAACAACCTTGACTTTCTTTGTGTAACATCCTCACATATTTGAAGAATGTTGTATATCCTCCCTCAGTCTCCTCAAACTTTTTCTGCCCAACTTTTTCAGAGGTTTTTATTTCCATTTCCCTGATCTTCTCCACTGCCCTTCTAGTTTCTTTGAATTGTTGTGTGGTTCCCAGAACTGAATCCAACACTCAAAGTGGGATCTGATCAAACCAGAAAAAGTGAAATGATTACTTCTTGTGATTTGGAAGTGATTCAGACTTAAGTATATTTGCTTGTTTGGCAGCAAGGATTCATTACACTGCTTTTTCATTATCAGTACTCCTAAATGTCACACTGTCCAATCTATGCTTAACTAATTTACTAATCTGAATGTCATGAAGTACTTCAACAAATGTTTTGCTAATGTCAAAGTATGTTGGATCTATCACATTTCTACAATCTATTAAAATTATGTATGAGAGAGTGCTTTCAACACAGTCTTGACTCTTGGCTACTGGCTGTAACAGTCCATGCAGATTCCTTGGCAGTAGTTTTAGAAATAGTTTGCCCTCATCTTCTTTATAAGGCTGAGAATAAGTGGCTCAAAGTCACCAGTTGGTTTGCTGCCTAAGCAAGGACTAGAACTCATGGTTTCTGTGCCTTAAACACTATACCAAATTGACTCTCATTATAGAAATGACCCTATCTAATAACATGACATGGCATGACAAACAACATGGTGTAACATAACAGCATAATATTTAGGAAAGACATTGTCAGGCTACAGAACTTTTCCCATTCACTCAACTAGAATGAACTTCTGAAAACGTATTAAAACGTATCAAAAAGGAATCCTTTATTGAGATGAGACAATTCCTGTAGGAGTTCAAAGCAGCGTCTGAGGTCTCTCAGGCATACAGGGATACATAAGGGAGTTTAGAATCCCTCCCCTTATCTCGATGTGTATTTAGTGAAACAAAAGCCACTATGTTAATTCCTCCCCACCCCCTTTTTTTTAAGGAACGAACTTTTTCACAGTTTCCCAGGGCATACCTAGTTTCCCCACCCCCCACCCCCTTTTTAGAACGAACTATTCAAGAGATTTCCAAGACACATCCCACTGTGGAATTTTTATGATCTTCTCATTTCCTAGTTGTGCCTCTCAGAGGTGATAGTTCTGGCCATCTGGTTTTTCTCCCTCCATTGTATCATGCGTGGGCTATACAAATTCGATATAAGATTAAATATATTCAGGTTACATAAGAAAGGATTTCTTTATCAGCTTCCCCCCGCTTTTCTTCTTCCACTGAAGAAATGACAGATACACGGATCTGACAGACATGCCCTTGACAAATGCTTGCTAATCTGGTGATTATGGCATTTTTTTTCCAAAGTACTTATAAAACTTACAAACTTCTCTAGAAATTTCCTAGCAATCACTATATAACTAACAAAGATGATAAAAGGTCTTGAGGCTAAACCATACCATGAACAGTTAAGGGAACTAGGTTTGTCTTGCCTAATGAAGAGAATGATTAGGAAGAAATGATAACTGTCTTCCAGTACTTGAAGGTAGACAGATGTGGGGTCAACTTATTCTCCATAGCACCTGGAAGTTTGTTAAACAGAGATCCTACCTAGAACTAAGGAAAAATTTCCTGAGGGTGAGAGCAATTAACCAGTGGAAAAGCTTGCCTCCTGGACTTGTGGGTGCTTCATTGGTTTTTTTTTAAAAAGATTGGACATCCATTTGTCCAGGATGGTATAAGGACTCCTGCCTTGAGCAGGAGGTTGAACTATAAAATATAAGTAAATATTTCTTGTTTACAAGAAATACTTTCTTAAAATACCGTATTTGCCGGCGTATAAGATGACTTTTTTGCCCTGAAAAACATGCCTCCAAGTGGGGGGGTTGTCTTATATGCCGGTATATCCACTGCCGGCTATCGGATGCTTGTGGGACGCAGCGAAGGCGGCTCTGGCTTCCTGGATCCCCCGTGTCACTTCCGCCAAGAGCCTCCCCGCGTCTCTGAATGAGGTTCAAATCCCGCTCGCCTCGCTCCGCCCGAGGCTGCAGCGACTGGGGGAGCGAGAGTGTGGGTCACTCCTGTCCTCCCAGGCAGGGCCATGTGAAGGCTGCCCGCCTTCCTGCTCCTCCCACGGCCCCTGGCACTCCGCCCTGCCGCTGCAGCCCTGGGGATTTCTGGAGGGCATTTCCAGTGACCCCTCTGGGATCGTTTGGCTGACCAACACAGAATAACATACACACTGTGTAAATATTGGATGATTAGTTACCGGGTGGGGGGGTCGTCTTATACGCCGGGTCGTCTTATACGCCGGCAAATACGGTACTTTCCTTATACATGACTTAAATGTGAAATGTTTTCTCAGTATCCTAGCTATTGTAAATGCTCCCAAGGTAATAGTGTTGCATAAGACAGTTGCCCACTTTAAGAGAGAATCAGCTATACTTAAATCATCCCAGAAAGAATTTAAGTAGCTAAGCTGCAAACATCATAATGTATAGAGAAAGGACTCTAGGAAAAACCAAGTTCAGTCTATTTGTTTTTTATTCCACATAAAGATACTAAGGCAGCTTCAAATAAAAGTTTGTAAAGCTGCTCTCTATACAATAATTTGGGCTATTCGGACCAATGTGGGAGAGATGATGATTTAGCAAGTCTGTATCCAGTTTTGATTGCCATGATATAAAAAAGATGTTGACTCTAGAAAGAGTGCAAAGAAGAACAAGATGACTAGGGGAACTAGAGGCTGAAACATATGAAGAACATTGCAGAGATATGTCTAATGAAAAGAAGAGTTGGGGTGACATGATAACCATGTTCCAATATCTAAGAGGTTGCTCCAAAGAAGAGAGGGTCAACTTATTCTCCAACACACCTGAAGGCAGAACTAGAAGCAATGGATGGAAACTAATTAAGGAGAGAACTAACTTAGAATTAAAGAGAAATTTCCTGACAGTTAGAACAATTAACAGTTTGCCTCCAGAAGTTGCAGGGTGCTCCAACACTGGAGGTTTTAAAGAAGAGATTGGACAATATGCTCTGAAATGGAATAGGGTTTTCTACTTGAGCAGGGTGTTTGGACTAGAAGGCCTCCAAGGTCCCTTCCAACTCTCTTATTCTGTTATACCTCCAAGGTCCCTTCCAGTCCTATGATTCTATGATTTCTATGATAACTGTTTTGGAATTCACTAGATTTTTCTTTTTATCCTTTTTGAAGTTAGGAACGGCCTAAAGACCAGGTGGGTGCAGCTGTGGTGTGTGTCATGTGACTGAGTGGCCATGGCCAACTCAATATCACTCACAGCAAGTTGGGGTGGCGCAGGCGGGCCGAAGCGGCAGTGGCTGGAGCTTTAGACTTACCTTTGTGCAGCAATGGTAATTCTCTGATGCCTCTTGCTGGGCCTCACTGCCCAACAGTCAGAGTTTTAAAAAAGGTTTTTGCAGCAGGAAATGGCGGGTGGCTACTTCCGGCCCTTGTTGGTGCAGCTGGACACACAACCCCTCCCCGAAACACTGGCCTGCAGCCGCTGCTGCTTTTTTCAGCGCGGAAAGTCTGCAGCTGCCACCGCTTTTTTTCAGCATGAGAAGCCTGCAGCCACCACTTTTTTTCAGTGTGAGAAGCCTGCAGCTGCCACTTTTTCCCGGTGCAAAGGGCCTGCAGTCACCGCTTTTTGCCAGTGCGAAAGGCATGCAGCAGTTGCCTCTTTGATGGATGGAACTGAGCCAGGAGCGATAGCTGCAGGCTTCTTGTGCCGACAAAGAGGTGGCGGCTGCAGGAATCTCCCGCCGCTTTTTGCCAGCGCGAAGGGCCTGCAGCAGTCGCCTCTTTTCTGGCTGGAACCGAGCCGGGAGCAGTGGCTGGAGGCTTCTTGCACTGGCAAAGAGGTGGCAGCTGCAGGATTGTCGGGGGGGAACACGGGGAGGCTCGGACACCTTTCGGACCCTGCTCTGGGCTGCCACATGCTCAATCTCCACTCCACGTCAGGTCCCACATCCAGCCACAACAAGGCCGGCGGATGGGCAAGCAGGCAGCCCTGGGAGGAGGCATTTTCTCTCAGGCCTTGCACCCAAAGGCTCCATGAAAGCTGAAGCTGGGCCCAAAAGGTGACCGAGCCTTGACATGTGTCTCCCCTCTACCAAGGCGGTCCTTCAGCTGAGCACAGTAAGCCCTTCCTTCCCTGCCATCAGCCTTACCTTCTAGCCATGGGGCTCGTAACGTTCTCATAGCAGCGACCCAGCATATAGACAGAGGCCTCAGGGAAGGCCAGAGCCAGGGACATTCCCCAACTGGAGGCGAAGGGTGAGCAGGCAGCATGCAGGAAGAGGCCCCAGGGAAGGCCAGTGTCATTCCTCTGTCAGAGTCTGAATCCGAGGAGGAAGACGAACAGCTGACAGGGAGCGAGAGTCAGCTCCGTTGGCTGTGGAGGAAACTCCACTCCGTTGGCTGTGGGGAAGGGCAAAGTTTGACTGGGCAGAGCAGGGGAGAGATAGAACAAGGCAGAGGGAGTTCAGATGAAGACACAGGCCCACCCCCTCTTCATCCTAGGGCAAACAGAGAGGAACAGAGAAGAGAGCAACATGGGTTGCGTGACTTATGGGGTAGGAAAGGGCCCTGATTCCCTTCATTAGCCACACTTTGGAATGAGAGTTTAAAAGAGGTGCATGGTGAGTGCAGCAGCT